ATAAAAATTAGTATTCTACAAGCTTTGCAAGTGGGAAAACCTGAAAAATCAACAGTGTATCAAGTACTTGTTCTCCCTACTGTATGCACTGTAAATAAAGCATGAACAAACAATAGTCTGTTTCAATTTAAATAATTTAAAAACCCTATCTGCACACAGTTAGTATTTTCTTAAATTGCACGTGTTATAGGTTTTCTAATGAATAGTTTGTGTTTTATTAAATTATTTTGTAACATATTTGTCACTCTATATTTTTCTTACATGTTGATGCTCTGGATCATTTTGCCATGTTATTTACTTCCTGGTCCCTGCAGATAAACGCAGTATTTAGATTTTGTGATCCCCAAATTTTCCTGTTGGATTCAAATTTACCATCTTTGTAAATCTATATATATATAAAAAAAACTAAACATGACTATGGTTATTATTACCCACTTTTTTGTAATATTTTCTGCCTGTTTGTCTACAGATGGTGTTTCTCAACACCGGTTAGTTGGTCCAGATGTCGGAGGACCAGCGCCACCAGCGGGCTGAAGCCTCCCAGGGGGCAAAGGGCGATCTGGAAGCAGGAGAGGGCGACACCGAGCCCAGCATGCTGCTGCAGAAACTAAAAAGCAACATTTCGTGAGTAAATCCACAAAATTGAACACAAAATTATTATTATTWTTTTTTTAAACATCAACAGGTTTGTTTTTTGGGGCATCCGTAGAGAAAGAAAAGGAACTTTGATCACTGATTTGTATTTTTCTCTTCATCTTGCAGTAAGAATGTTCAGACCAAAGTGGATCAGATACTGGTAAAAAAAAATAAAACAGCAATTTTACTCTGAATTTTAAAGTTTGCTTCAAAGAAAAGTTGTTTGCGCGTGTTTGATTGTTTTATTTATTTATTCTTTTGTTCTGCTTCAACAGCAAGACGTTCAACGCTTCTCTGACAACGACAAGCTGTACCTGTACCTCCAGCTGCCCTCGGGACCCAGCTGTGGGGACAAAAGGTTTGAGTTGTTTATTGTTGAAAAGGTTTTTATAAGGTTTTAATATGTTTCAAATAAAGTTTCAGTATGCGACTTGTATCTTAGATTTAATGGTGTGCACAGGAACTATAGCATGCGGGCAGAACAAAAACAACTTGCTAAGCAGAACCAGAAGAACAAGTTTAGACAACCGGTCTAACCGCAAAATGTTCCACCARGCCCAAGTTTCCAYTAAAGAGTGCACAAACAAGTTATGACTGATAATATCTTTCTGTTGTCTAACTGCGTACATGCCCCAGCAACCAGTTTCTGATTGGTCTCTATGCTTATGACATGACATAGCAACTGTCTTATGATTTGACGACTTGTTGTGATGTAATTTCTACGTGTGTGAATAAAAGTGGATCACGGCCACAGAGCGGCAGAACTTCACTGGGCTTGACTCCTGTTAAGTACTCTGAACTTCTCCCTTTGCAAAGTGTATCTTTAAACAGTTACTGGTCTCTGATGTCTTTGATCAATGTCTGGTTGGGTTGTTGTGTTTCAAGGTCTCAGTCGCAGGTAAGAATACCGGACAATTGTAATTAATCTTCTTGTGTTAATGCGTACGGCCATGCTTTTGTGTTTGTAGCTAACATGTCTTTATTAAAAAGGATTGAAATCTGAGATTGTTCAAATTCTTGTTTCCACACAGCGGCGGCGACTCCAGTTCGTTCAACACAGCCGACCAGCTTCACACCTGCAACTGGATCCGGAGTCACCTGGAGGAGCATTCAGACACCTGTCTACCCAAACAGGATGTCTACGAGACGTACAAGTGAGAAAACGCAGAACGACACAAACACTCTGAAAGACACCCCTCACAGATTATTAATCTGTAATCTTTGTCCCACAGGAGATACTGTGAGAACCTGCAGCATCGTCCTCTGAGTGCCGCCAACTTTGGGAAGATCATCAGAGACATTTTCCCAAACATCAAGGCGAGACGACTCGGGGGCAGAGGACAGTCCAAATATCCTTTTAACGTTTGACAAAAACTGTATGAGGACAACCAAGCTATTCTGATATTTATGTATTTTCTATTGAAGTCTAGAAAAATGAACTTGGGTTAATTTAACTTAAAACTAAACTTACTGTATTTTCTGTTTACTGTTTGCTGTAGAACTCATTAGTTCTAAAACATATTTCTATTTCTTAGTTTGTTATCTTAAATTATCACACTGATCATTATTATCTGAACCTGTAAAATTGCGTTAAAACAGTTGTGTAAAAAAGTAAGTTTCTCCTATTTTCTTGTTGTGCTGCCTGTGCCTGASAGACACAGCTGAGGGTTTACTGCCTCTCAGTGTGAAATCAGTCGCTGCTGCACCTTTTATATTTACATCTTTCTCTCGATTTGACAGTTTAAAAGCTGTTTTTGGTGGAGGTCGTTGGTGGGAATCAGAGCCTGGAGGTTGCAGGTTGAATTCCTTAACCATGTTTGATACGTACTGTTACAGCGGCATCAGGAGGAAGACTGTTCTTAACATGCCTCTTCTGCCCAACCTGGACCTGAAGAACGACCCGGTACCCACAAACTGACTCTACAGCTGTTTAACTGTAGCGGTCGTCACCTCTGCTCGTACTTCTTCAAATCATTTAAACTGCGAGAGGATTCAGAAACCTGACATTTATTCACTCAGCTATCTAAAGATTTTCAGTATTTAGTATTTTTTACAACGTAAAAGGTTAAATAATTTCTTGTCCCCTTGTAGCATTGAGTAACGCAGCATTCTTGGTCTGTTCACCAAATAGAAAAGGATTTCACTCTGAAAATAAACACCTTAACGTAAAACTTTTGTTGTCAGAAAAAGAGGGTTGAAGGTAAAGGAGAAGCGATGTAGCTAAAGAGGAAGTTGATTTAAATACTTCCTACAAAGAGAGGCATTCGGCAGCTCCTGTTTACTCTTGTTCCTCTTCGTCTGCAGTCCGAGCTGACTGAGCTGGTCCAGACCTACAAACAGGAAGTGACGGAGGCGGCGTGTGAGCTGATCTGCGACTGGGCGCAGAAGATCTTGAAGCGTTCTTTCGACACGGTGGTGGAGATCGCTCGCTACCTGATCCAGGAGCACATCGTTAACCCTCGCTGCAGCCAGGCCGAGCTGGTGACCTCTGCTGCGCTCGCAGGTGTGCCACAGCCTCTTTGAACCTCAACACAAAATACCTTTAAGGAGGAAAAAGCTTTGTTATAAAGAGGCAAAATCATGTTTGGATTCAAATTTAAAACACGCATCATTCATTGCGCCTCAAATACGGGAGGTCAAAAAGTTTATTTCCACCTAAATGTTTTAGAAAAGTGCCAACATTTTGCAAAACGGCGACAAATTCTGTAGCTTTAAAAGTGTTTTTGTTTTTCTGCAGCCGGTCCAACTAAAACCCACAAGGTCATCAAGAAAACTCCCGTGGCCTCTAAAGCCGATGGAGARGAAGCTGCAGAGCAGAAGGTCTGTTGCCGATCGATCGCCAATCTTATTGGTCCGTCTGTCCTGCCGCTCGCTCACTTCCTGTTTGTCTGCAGAAGGAGCAGGGAGACTCGTCCTCATCCTCGTCCTCACAGAAGCCTCCGTCTGCAGACAAGGCGGCAGCACCAGCCAAACCTCCCGCAGCCGACGGCCCGCCTCCTTCCTCCACCTCTTCCTCGTCCCTGCGTCCAGCGGTAGGTCAACACTAAAGTTACTTCTTTTTAAAGGGATCCACGATTAATTCTAACATCGGCCTTTATTTAAATAAACATAAATTTTAACTGTAAAATAAAGACTGTAGAAAAGCTGTAGGCTGTTTAGTTTTTATAATTTCTAAACTAAATTTTTAAAATATTTTAATTCGGACTGAGCCATTTTATTTACACACAAAGCATTCTGGGTAAATGATGACGTGGATAGGTCCTTGGTGCGAGGCTGCTAGCGAGCTATATCCACCCTGAAGGTTAATCTTGGACAATATCTGATGATCGACTCTTTTAAATGAAACCAGAGAGCGTTGACAGAGAGGAGAAGGTAGAAATGACTCAGCCTGGAACTGAAAATATGGATGGAGGACCTCAGTTTAGCTTGTTTGTTGTGCTAGCGCCAAGCTAATACATATAAGGCAAAATAGCGTCGGCGCGAACACTAAAGCTAACAGGCTAAGCTGAGGTTCTTCTTCCATGAAGCAGCTCTGTTGTCCTCCATCTATATTTTCAGTTACAGGCTGACTCATTTCTACCTTCTCCTCTCTGTCAACGCTCTCTGGTTTCATTTAAAAGAGTCGATCATCAGATATTGTCCAAGATTAACCTTCAGGGTGGATATAGCTCGCTAGCAGCCTCGCACCGAGGACCTATCCACGTCATAATTTACCCAGAATGCTTTGTGTGTAAATGAAATTGCTCCGTCCTTGTTAAAATATGTTTTTAAAAATTTATAAAACTAAACAGCCTACAGTATTTTTACAGTCTTTATTTTACAGTTAAAGTATATGTTTATCAAATAAAGTCTAATGTTACAACTAATCAGGCATCCATTTAACAACTTAGGTGCTGCTGAGGGCAAATAAAGACACCAGATGTGGACGGATTGAAGAAACAAAACTCAAATAAACCTCTCAACCTTTTTACCAACAGAAGGAAAAAATTATAAATGTTTTCAGGCAAAAATGAAACAGAATACATGATTATAACTTCTTAACTTTTAGTGTAATTAAATGCATTATGCAGTCTGTCTGGATTTTGTCTGTGCTGCAGGTGGAGGCGTTCATGAAGCAGTTACCCAGAATCCTCCCTCGCAGCTCCGTCCCTGATAAGACCCTTTCGGTCCACACCTCCCTGCCCTCTCAGGCTCCCAAAGACGCCTCTGGTGTCGGCGGGCCTTCTGGACACGGTGGCTCTGCTGACCTTCACCCCACTGCCAGCAGCGGCGGGGTGAAGGTCATTGCCATGGCGGCGCTGCCCCAGCAGCAGGGCGGGCCGGTCCCCGTGATGTTCCTTCCTCAGAGCTGTCTGTCCTTCGAGAGGGACAAGGTCGCTCCGCCTCCTCCTCCTCCTCTTCCTCTCCAGCAGCAGCAGCACACGGTGGTGGCCCCCACTTCCGTGGTCCAGAAAGCACGGGCGACCACCACCAAGCGCCCCCTGGAGGGCGAGGCATCCGGCGCGGGCGCCGCCAGCGTGTCCGGCGCCTCGGCCGTCAGCACGTCTCCGGTGAAACGGAAACGAGGACGGCCGAGGAAACCTCGTCCCGAGGACTCGCTTCCTGCTCCCCCCGTTGCTCTTCCTCCTCAGCCTCCTCCTCCTCCCTCTCAGCCAATCATCACCTCCCTGAGCGGCGGCGTCATCCAGAAGGCCTCCTCCTCTTCGTCGTCCTCCTCGCAGCCCGTGGTGGAGCTGGTGATCCAGGAACCGTCGGGGCTGGTTCTGAGCCAGCTGCCCGCCATGTCGGACCCGGCTCACCGGTTGCTGGAGCACCGCGGGGTGGTGGTGCAGTGTCAGACGGGTGGGGCGGCCGAGCTGGACCCCCACAGCAGGCCGCTCCTGGTGTTCCAGAGTCCGGGGAACCCGGGCTGGGAGCTGGCCTCGCCGGGCCGGACCCAGATGGTGGAGGTCATCCAGAAAGCTCCGAGGCCGAGCAACAACAACAACACGGCTCCTCCGCAGCTCCACTCACCTCCTTTCACTCTGCCCACCCTGCAGGAGGAGCATGGCGAGGTGGAGATCACGCTGACGCCTGTGGATCTGAATGCCAGCTTTCCTCCCTCCTCCTCCTCCTCCTCCTCCTCCTCTGCTCCGGCCTCCTCCCACTCAAGTTTCTCCTCCGTGGTGGTGAAACTTGAGGACGATGAAGAAGGAAGGAGTGTTTCATCAAAAAAAGACGGACTTTAGCTTTTATCAACTTCCCTCTGGTCTTTTTTTAAAAATCACTTTTTACCTCACCTGCTAAAAGCCCCGCCCCTTTACCTCTCCTCCTCCTTAATGGTGGAAATCCCAGCTTGGCTGCTGCAAAGAGCCAATCAGGCAGGATAAATGAAGCCAAAACATGGTCAACACTCTGTCCTTCCATCGCCTCCGCTTGTACACTGCCCAACCGCCGTTAGAAACCTGTGGTTCTTCAAACGCATGTTTGTCCGTGTGTCGAAACCAGAACCACTTTCCTCCTCCCTTCCTTCCTTCTTGTTAACTCGCTCTAAAAAACAGTTCTGTACTGAGATTTGTTTGTTAGCTGCAGTGCTTCATGTAAAAAAAAGATCAAAACTTAAACAATGTATAATCCATAGGAGGGAGGGGAGCTGTAAAGGAGGAAAGGAGACGTGTTAAAGTGCTGAGTCAGGCCCAGGATGGAGTCGGTAGAGACAGAAGGTACGTACGGGTCGGAGCCTTGAAAAGGTTCTCTGTGCTTAAAAAAAACAAAAAACAAAAACGAGCCCTTAAAAAGAACCCAGCTTTGATTCACCTAATGAAACTGTTGGGAAAGAATAAAAAAATAAATAAAAATCCATTTTTATATATTGAGATGCAACCAGAGACTGTTCTGGAGACTTAAAGTCCAAAATGTGAATCAAAGCTCGGTTCTCTTCTTTTTAAAGAGTTTCTCTGTTCGAAACAGCTTTGTATTTTTATCTGTCCAAAAAAAAAAAAAAAAAGAATTAACATTTAAAATTACAAATCACCCAAAATAATATATTGTGTAAAATTTGTCATTTTTTTAAAAAATGTATGTGAGTTTTTAAAAAAAATCAAAATAGTTCATAAGATTGGTCCAGAAATCCAGTATTACCAGAATCATAAAAGTTTTTAATTAATCCTAAACTCAAACAACTCAAGTCGGGTCTGTTTCATGTTTTACTGCCTGTTCGGCAATAAGAAAAAGAGTAAAACGGAATCAAAAACACTCATTTATTTATTATTAATGCCACTTTTACTGTCAGACTGCTAAATATGAGGTTTTATGCATCAGCTGTTAGTGTAACATAGCACAAAATAAAAGATGGGAATCTGCCGTCTTTATGTCTAAAGTTTTACCAGCAATTAAAGCAAAAATTTCCATTTTATATCTGGTTTTGAAGCTATCTTGCTTTTAACGAACCCTCTGAACTTAAATCCMACGATTAATGTAAAGTTTTTAAATTCTTGTTAAGAATAGGTCAGTGKTCTGTTTAAATGGTGTGACCTCAGACCCAAAGCATCCCAACCAGACCCGACTGAGTCCTCCCAAACCGTTTCTTTTACTGATGACAACGTGCGGTGATGTGCTAACCTGCTGCAGCGTTCTTGATGAAAACAGATGAGAGAAACAGCAGGAGTGGAGGGAAAAWCTGTTCCCAACTGCTGGAGGAACGGCTTCAGCTTCAGGCACTAAAGAGCAAAGCACAAAGATCTCTGCGACGTAGCACGAATATGTTAAAGATGCAGTACAAATAAATTACAAATATTTGATTCTGTAGCACTAAAATTGTAGACTACATGATTGGCCTGTTAGTTGGCTTACCTGTTGTGTGTCGCCATGCGCCCTTTGCACTACTTTCAGTCACCTCTTCGAGCTCGCCTCTGCAGCTCGGTTCTGGTCAGCAATGTGACARGACCTGGATTGTTTCTGCTGGACAACAATCATCTCCTGGCCTTAATTTTAAGTCATTTTACAGCTCAGACGTAAACCTGCACAAGGCTTAGGGCAGGGGTGGGCAATCCTGGTCCTCGAGGGCCGCAGCCCTGCATGTTTTACTTGCTTCTCTGCTCCAACACACCTGATATGAATGAATAGATGATTATTAGGCTTCTTGCAGTACGGAGGACCGTAACTGACATAATTAGAAATAAAAGCAGAATTATATAAATGAACCACTAAATAAATACATTTGAAATGCACCAATTAAAATAACAAAGGAGAACTTTATCTCATGTTTTTTTGTTTGAAATGACTTAAATATTTGTTTTTCCAGGTTAGTATAAATTAGTCTATATATTTTAACACATAATTTAAATTTGAATGTTTTTTAAAATACATATTTTTTTCCCTTTTACTTCTACATGCATTTGTGTCTCAAATGTTTATACTTAATTACTTTTATATTTTTCCCACAAGGCTTTTTTATTTCTATGTGTTGCAGGCGTGTGCTGCCTCAGTTTAGCTTAAAGTTTAGTGTAAAACAAAGGCAAGGAGAAAAACTTACCCGCGCCTTTGTTTTTAACTAAACTTTAAACTTTAAGCTAAARTGAGGCAGCACACGCCTGCAACACATCGAAATAAAAAAGACTTGTGGGACAAAACTATTAAAATATTTTAATTTAAACATTTAAGAGACCAATGTATGTACAAGTAAAAGGAAAAACTGAAAAATATATATTTTAAAAAACAGTCAAATTTGAATTGTTAAAAAATATCAATTAAACGAGAATTAAATTACAAAACATGAGGTGAAGTTCTTTTTTAATTGAATTGGTGCATTTTAAGTGTATTTATTTATTTAGTGGTTCATTTATATATTTCTGCTTTTATTTATAATTATGTCAGTGTCGGTCCTCCATACTGCAGAACTTAGAAGGTAAATCAATGTCTGAATCAGGTGTGTTGGAGCAGGAAAAACATAAAACATGTAGGGCTGCGGCCCTCGAGGACCAGGATTGCCCACCCCTGGCTTAGGGAGTCGGAAACGGGAGCTTATGTTTGACTGAAAAAAAAAAAAGAAAGAAATCTGCAAGTTGAATTTGGAGTCTTAAGGAAGCACCTCACTGGGCTGTGACTGCTGCTGACGAAGAACTGTGGAAAAGTTAAGAATTTATGATGATGTTTCACTGAATTCTGAGTGCGGCCATCTTTCCGCTGACAGTTTATGAAAAAAACATTTTGTAGCTGCTTCAGCTGCCCCCATAATTTACTTGAGTACACTTTTGAAATGAAGATAAAGGCAGTTTTTCTGCATCTATTATGTATTATTGATGTGACGTTTAGACCTGGATATTTGGGGCTGTAGCCTTCCACAGATGTGGATTATTTTTATAGTTTATTATAGAACATCTGAAAGAAACTGTTTGGTAGGGCAGTGCTTTTATTATATAAAAAAGCATAAATCTGATGAGGAGGACCATTTAAAAATCTTAAAACAAGCAACAAATCTTAAAATCAATCTGAAAATGTACAAAAAGRCAAGACCAGTGTAATGTGTTTACAGTTTTTAGAAGGAGAAGCTGCTGCGATTTGGACAATTAGATCAGTTTGAGACAGCTCGAAGACGTCTAATTTAGGAGGGTTTTAAACACCCACAGAAAAACTGATGTTTTTTTTGAAAAAAAAAATTGTCGCTCAATTTAAAAAGAAAGAAAAAAATAAGTAGGTCCTCTGGATGGGTTCTTCTTTAGTGAAACGTTTCATCTCTCCTCCAAGAGACTTCTTCGGTTTGATGAGTTTCAGGTGAACTCAGCCTTATAAGCACTGCCTCCACATGGACAAACAGGTTAGTCACATGCAAAAGAAGGCCATCGCCTAACAATAGGCTTGATTAGCGCTATTCATAGAGGGTCATGTGCCCCATCACCTGACTTATTGGTTTGGATGCTTCGGCTGTGGTTATTTGGTGTTGTGTTATGTATACCCAACACAAAGAGGGAAAGAGAGACAAAAACAAGGCGACGTTGAACCCCGCTTGCACTCACTACTTACACATAACAAAACACCAAATAACCACAGCCGAAGCGTCCAAACCATTAAGTCAGGTGATGGGGCACATGACCCTCTATGAACAATAGAGCTAATCAAGCCTATTGTTAGGCGATGGCCCTCTTTTGCAGGTGACTAACCTGTTTGTCCATGTGGTGGAGGCAGTGCTTATAAGGCTGAGTTCACCTGAAACTCATCAGACTGAAGAAGTCTCTTGGAGGAGACGAAACGTTTCACTAAAGAAGAACCCATCCAGAGGACCTACTTATTTTTTCGTTTTGTCTAACTGGATTACTGAGATGCATCAGGACGTCGCTCAGTTRAGTTTGAACACATTTAAAACTCAAGCGACAGCCTCAAAAAGAACCAGCATCAACCCAGTGAGATACCACCTTTAATGATAAAAAAGCTATTACTTTATTTGAGGCATTTCACCATTAGTGTCAAAGTAACTTAATCAAAATTGCAGTTAACTAAATGATTACGATTCATGAAAATATTTTATTTATCTTCAATGTCTTTGATTTAAACTCTGTACTGTACTCTTGCACAGGATTTATCAACAACAAGAGGTTTGTTTTAAACCATTTTAGAAGTTTATTTTCTCTCAGGTAATATTTGAAACAATAAGGAGGAAGAGGAAACAACAGTTTCTCCCTCCTGCCATGATGGAAATGTCACATTGCTGACTCAAAAATTTTTTCACCTCTGCCGAATGTCCTCTCGCTCCACGAGAGGACGTCTTCTTCATCGTTGGTGCTACACACCGTAGGGCTCGACATCCATGTCTGTCCTCGCTGTCCATTTTGTGATCACAGAATTGTATAAAAAAAAACTCGTTTGTGGATTTGTGTGATTTGAGAAGTGGATGCAGCTGTGTGTGTGTGTGTTGTTGTCGTCTGTTTTGTCCGAATGAGAGCTTCAGACCAGTTAAAGGGACTCGGGAACTTTCCGACTGTTAAGATTATCCCTGTTGCATTATGGGGAAGTGAGTTTTAGCAGGACCCCAGCACAGTTTCTAAATAACAAAAAGCACTAAAATGACTTTTAAACTAAACCAACATCTTTCCATTCACTGGAAAAAAAAAAACATTAAAATGTCCCATTGTCCCTTTAGCCTCTGAAATAAGTTCTTTTTCAGACAGACCTGAAACTAATGTTGCACTGTTGAGAGTTAAAAAGATGGATTTTATGTGTTTTGAACTTATTGTATTTGAGGAAACACACTGTTAAGTATTAATACGTATATTAACGTTCTACTTTACGCTTGCACTCTGCTAGAGGCCGACAGCTGCTGGCTCTATTTTTTATTGAAAATGAATAAATAAAATAAAGCTCAGAGTAATAATCCTTGTTTTAACATTATATTGTGCTCAGTAAAGAAAAATACTCTGTTCTATAAAAGTTGCAGTAACTGAAGGTGACGAGCAACATTTCACTTTTTAAAAGTCGGAACAAAAATGCCTTTTTTTTTACAACGTATATACAGTATTTAAATTATATTCTGAGGCAGCCTTAGAGATGTTTGCTTAAGTCACGTGACCTGAACTTTAGTCGGACTCTGTCCAGTTTCACGTTTCTGTTTGTTGGGCTTCATGTTTGGATCAAAGAACACAAAGTTTACGTGAAAGATTTACTGCAGGACTAATGAGGCATTAATGATTGAATTTAAGGTAGCTTAACTTTGGATTAGAATTGTAACATTTTTTAGATTAAAAAGCATTTACTTGGAATTTGTTCCTGATTTAGGAGTCAGGAAACAGGGCTAGAAGTCTAAATTATATCTGAATATTAAGAATTTTATTATTTCAGATTCTTCTATCAGTCTAATATTTTTGATGTCGTAACCTGAGTCTGTTGCCAGTTTTGCTACCAAAATCCAGAGACCGACGTTGCCGAACTCAAGGTGAAGTGTTGCTTTTAGTGACGTGACGTACGTGTAAAAGGTTCAGACTGGAARCTGAGGATATGCAGCAGCTGTTTCCCTCTGCAGGACCCACTGGACCAAGCGAGTCAAACTGGAAAACGTTTAACAAGAGGAGGAGTTGAGGGCCGCTCAGATTTGACTTTAATCAGCTGCGATCATTTCTTGTTGACTCTGGTGAAAAATAGTTCAGAAATGTTAAGAAATCATCGCAAATTTACACAAATCCACATTTAGACGTGTCGCCGACACGTCTGAACGAGCATGTTTCGCACTGGCTGATGTGTAAATGTTTGGAAGAGGCTTGAGCAGCCAAGTGGATGTTTGCACCAAAACAGATCTGATGAATGACTAGATGTGACCTGTGGAGCTCGGAAACAGACTCTTGATATCTAGAGAGCCTTAAAAGTCAAATTTCAGTTTTGGTTTGGTCCTCGAGGGCCACCATCCTGCATGTTTTTGTTTCCCTGCTCCAACACACCTGACCCAGTGGTTGACTTCTTTAGCGGGCCTTCAAGTTCTGCAGAAGCCTGTTAACCACTGTTTATTCAAACCTCAAACATGGAGGATTGTGGTCCCCAAACACCAGGACTGGACACCCCTGGTTTAGACCAAGTCAGCCTTCTGGATTGAGGTTTTGTTGGGAGTTTGTAATTTAAGATTTGATACAGCTTGGGTCTTGTAAACCCTAATAAGCATCGATATAGGAAATCCTTCAACCTTTCGGCTGACCCAGTTTGTGTGGCTTTGGTCCAGTTTGGCCTACTTCGGCCCTGCTTTGGGGAACGATCGGGTTAGTGGAGTTAGTTGTAGGAAAATGTTCACTGTGGAGCCGCGTTGCTCAAACTAGCAAACCAGAAAACGGGTCAGATGAGCAAAGATAATAAATCGGGATTCGGGTATTTTGGTCGTTGGTGCCTAAGGATCAGACTGAATTAAAGGAAACACTCTGATGTCACTTCCTGTTTTTGTTTTTTTAAGGGGAATGAGTTGCAGTATTTATTGATGTTTAGATGATGGAGCAACTTTGCGTTTTTAAAAGTATATCTTTCTGACACTTCAGGTAAAAGTTGTTTTTATCTGAGCTTGAGGAGTTGAACTAGATTTAATGTGATGTTTATGATCTGGATCAGCAGTGATTTAGGCTGAGTTTAGTAAGATAATATGAAATCTAAACAATTTTTTTAGTTTGAGGATGACAACCTTTATTAAAATTAGAAAATATTTAACCTAATCCCCAGATAAAATGACCAAAAAAGAAAAGAAAAGAATTAAAAGCCAGATTGAAGCTTCCGATGTGGAATAACAGGTGAAGTGATGAAGATGATGAGGTGTCTGAGCTGACCCTGGTTAACCRTACAGTTTATGTTGATGGTGCTTTCTTGCTGACTGTGACGGAAAAGGAGATGTTTGCAAACTCGCAGAAAACTCTAAGCTGCTTCTCTTTGTTTTCTGTTCAGCTATACGGCGAGTGATAAATTTCCTGTTTGTTGTTTGGTTTTATGTTTTTTCTGAACAGCTTGCTGACATGATGTCTTTCTTCCTCCTAACTGTTGCTCTGATTATCTTTTAAACTTTATTTTATTGTTTTAAAAATCACTGCCTGCATGTTTTTCTGTTTTTTCCCCCCTTGTGGCTGTTTTTTTTTTCTATATTCTCACGTCTAAATGTTTGTTTTTATCTGTAACCTGCTGGCTTTGTGTTGTTTTGCACTTTACTGCTAAAATTGGGAGTTTAAAATAAACACATTTTGATTTTGGATTGAAAGAAGTTGTGACATGCATTGTTACTTTGCTCTGTTTTTTTTTTTTCTTTTTTCTAAAATGAAATAAGTGATGATGGGAGAAGCCCAAACATTAATGTGAATCTATTTTCCTACATTCATGGAATAAAGAACGTGACGTTCATTTGGTCTCTGGTGGTTCTTCTGTCTTTTTCTGATAGTGCACTTTTGTCTTTTTTTTTTTCTTGTGCTTTTATTTTGAAGAATTATTAGGAAACATTCAGTAGCAATACATAATACAACTCAGCACCTACCTAACTGGTGCTTACCTGATATTTACAAGACAAATACACAATATTTACTTGGTATCTGGTGTATAGTGGATACCACATAAATATTTGGTACAAAATGAATAAATACCTTGCTGGTATACTGAGTACTTACCTGCTATTACCAGTTGGGTACTGGTACTACAGGGTACCTAATGGTAATGGTACTGAATATGTAAACACTGGATTTATTCAGTACATACTCTATAAATATCAGGTATATACTTTATAAAAGTCAGGTAAGTACAGTTATGTACCTGTCTGTATTATGTCACTACTAAATATTTTATACAATAATTTCATTAACACAGGTGTAAAGATGTTWAAAGTAGATTAATATTTTTCAGTTTTTACTGTAAAATGTTATTCAAACTGAAATAAAAGCTTTGGCATGAAATTCAGACACAGGACTGAGTGGGAAGCAAGGATGGTCCAGACGGAAACAGGACCATAACCAGCTGCTCAATCAGGGCACCGGAACTGACGTAATTTAAACTTCAAAATAAAACGTTAAGCGCTGTCCTTCGTTTAACAAATTTAAATGCTTATAAGAAGCATATTATAAAATTTGATAGATGTTTTGAGACAAAAAGTAAAACATATGTTTAAACAATAATTGCAAATAGCTGAGTGATTAGTTGGAAGTGAATCTTATTTAAATGACCCCAAGAGGAAGTGTCGTCAGATCAAAAGTGACTAGAGCTGCTCGAAAATCTTGAGAAATATACCTCAGACAGAGGATAGTTGGATGCACATCTTAAATGAGAAAGATGTGCTGCCATTTTAATTTACTTTGGACGAATGGGCTAAAATACCTCAGGCTAGACACCGATTTATTTAGAAACTGTCATAAGAGGTTGTTGTCAGTTTTGGATTGGAAAGTCTACACAACTGACTAATAATTGTCAGAGGGCTAATATTTTGGCTTTTGCATTGTTTGTTTTTTCTRGTTTCAAATGATCAAATCAGTAAATATGTTAATTTGACCTTATGCAGATGGTTTTTTTTTGTGCATGCAGAAACAGCAGCACTTTGGGTTATGGCTCGTCAATTTAAAGATTGGAGTTTTACTCAGTTTTGTATAAAGTAGTACCTCAAAGTGACTAGTAAAAGTTAAAGTCTCTTCTAAAAACATCATTTGAGAAGTTCCAAAGTATCTGACATTTATGTCCTGATGCATCTCAGTAATCCAGGTAAAAAAAAAACAAAAAGAAAAAAAATTTGGGGTTGGGTCCCCCAAACCCAGACCCAAACCAGTGGTTATTCCGTATGTTGCGGGTGTTTCGGAGAAACTGAGACGTTTATTTTCTAAACATGATGTCCCAGTGGCTTTCAAACCCCAAAACACATTACGGCAAAGGCTGGTTCACCCCAAAGATCCAGTGCCCCGGCACAAACAGAGCAATGTTGTATATGCTGTTAAGTGCCAGGAGGACTGCGACCAGTTATACATCGGGGAAACAAAGCAACCACTGTTCAAAAGAATGTCCCAACACAGACGAGCTACATCTAATGGCCAGACCTCTGCAGTTTTCACTCATTTACAGGCCAGCGGTCACTCTTTCAGAGATGAGGATGTTCTCATTCTTGATAGAGAGGAACGTTGGTTTGAGAGAGGAGTAAAAGAAGCCATTTTTGTGAAAAAAGACCGTCCATCATTAAACAGAGGTGGAGGCCTCCGTTTTCAGTTGTCCCCCTCCTACAGTGCTGCTATTGCCAGTATCACTCCACCCCTGTTAAAAATAGGTGTTAATTGGGTGTCAACGATAGCCATGTGATGTGAGTATCAGTCACATGGAGGCAGGGCTTAAAAGCCTGAATTTTGCCTGAAACTCTCAGACTGAAGAAGTCTCTTGGAGGAGAGATGAAACGTTTCATTAGAGAAGAACCCGTCCAGAAGACCTATACAATTTTTTTTCTTATCTGACATTTATTGTTAAAAGTAAATTTCTCATATAAAATGTACCTATGTATTACAAGTGAAAGTATTGAATAAAAGTGAACAGTTATAATTTCCAAAATGACATTTATTATGAGGCGACCTTCCCAAAAAACATATTTTTAAAGGCCATTATGACTATAATGTTGTATTAATTGTTTTAGATGCGCTAGTCTCCCTGTTTCAGGTGAATAAATATCTCTGCCAAAATCATCTTCATACGTCTGATATGTTCAGCTGGAGTGTTACAAGCCAGAATGAAAACAAATCAAAATGAAACAGGAGTAACTTTCTATTTCTTACATTTTTTATTACAAAATGAAATGTAAGGGCAATTGCATGAAAATGTAAGTAGAAGTAAAAAGCCGTCTGAAAAATAATTACTCGAGTAAAGTACAGATAACCAAAATTACACTTTCTTTGTAACTTTACGACTCTGGTTTTACTTGACTTCATTGAGGGAGCTGTCTTGTAGTTTCTTTTAATYCATGCTTTTGTTTTGCAAGCTTTGCCGGAAGTTGTAAAAGTGACGCACTGCGTCTGTCTTTACGGATGTTGCGTCACTGCTGCTTTAAAGCAGACCAAGCCGAGAGCGGCCTGGCCACAATTTATCGGGGACGACACCATGGACCGTGTCCGACCGTAATAACTCGGACTAAACCCCCCTTACATTAAAACCCGGACTAAACATCCGGACTCAATTGGGACAGAACCGCGACCGAAACTGGATTCCGCCTCGAGTGTCGGAGCTTTTGAACCGGAGGCGCTATTAGCCGGGTAAGCCCCGTGATTTTCCTCGCTATTTTCACTTTTTCTCCCTTGTGGTTTATATTGTCGTTTTTGTTCGTGTTTGTTCCGTTTAAAGCAGCCAGCAGTGGTGTGTTATTGTCGGCCGCAGTGGCGTTAAATGCCCGGTCGTGGGCCTGTTGCTGCCCGGCTCCTGTCCTCCTTCCTCCAGTTTGTTTTCATCAGGAGGGAGCGGCTCTCCTCCTCCTCCTCCTCCTCCTCCTCTTATAGCCTCGTGTATTATTACAAAAGAAATCTACCCACCCATCTACCCATAATAATGCTCTCTCTAAAACGTTCAGGGTTTTCTGGGGAACTGTATCAAATCTGAGAAAAATAATAAATTTCGCGTCATAAACGAGATTTTCATCCTGAAACACAAACAGATGTAGATGTTTTCGTTTCTTTTTCTTTTTTGCTGCTGAAAGATAAACCCGACACCTTGATTGTTGCACCGCTGTGTCTGCGTTTTTAAAGTTTTGCTGATAAACTTCACACTTTGCCCTGAAATGTCCACGTTTCTTGTCCTCCATCAGTCGGTCACTGCTGCGTTCACTGACCGTCTGTTAAAACCAGCTTCCCTGACCTGTAGGCTGTTTCCTTCTGTTTCAGCTGGGGTCAAAGCAGTCCTATTGTTTAGTCAAGTTTTACTCAAGAAATGTTAGAAAKTTCCGTCTTCAGATGTGTAATATGCAAGTAGTAATTGCGTAATTATTTTTTTGTCCTGCATTTGCCTTTTTTTTTTTTTTTTGGTTTTCTTCTTTTGAAAGAAACAAATCTTTTGTTTTGGCTTCCTTTTTTTAGTTTTAGTTGTTTTGACCTTTAACACTGGTGTTTTTGGGTGTGAGTGATGTTGATTTTAAATGTCAGGTTAAGRTATTTACTTAATTTTGCTGTGGTTCTTCCTAATTCAAAGAACAATGAATATGTTGTGAATACTTTTCTTGACTATTATAAAACCTTTCTGGTTTCTCTGATGCTGAGCCATCCATACTAGGGGTGTAAGAAAATATCGATACATTGAAATATCGCGATATTTCATTTCTCGATACTGTATCGATATTATAAAGCCCTGTATCGATTTTTTATTAAGGTTTATAATGTCAACTTTCCTGTCAGC